AAGGTAGAAAGACTTTACTTATGTTTCCCAGCCAATGACTTCCCCTCCGGGGAACAGAAATGCTATATAATCAAGTAAATGTAATGTGGTATGTACAAACACACACAAATGATCACATACTATAGTATAATGCCACTTGATTTATTCATTAAACAATATATTAAGACAAGCTTTTCATTCCAGTAAATGTATGAGTTGATTCTTCTTCTTAATGAATTGATTTATTTAATCAGTTGTATATTGATGGACAAGTTTCCTTCAACCTTTTGTTATTACAAACACTTGTGTAATAAGTATTCTTGTATATACATCATGAATATGTACCAATATAACTGTAGTATATTCTTCTAGAAGTAGAATTGCTAGTTCAGTAGTAAGTGCATTTAATTAACGACTTTATTAGGTATCATTAACACACCTAATTAAAGTTTACATGTTTTGACATATGTGTACAATGTGATACCATGACCAAATTCAAAATAATAAACATAAACTTCCAGAAGTTTCTTCTTTACCTGTTGTGATTTGTCCCTCCCATCATTTCATCCTTCCTCCCCTACTTCCTTAGGCAAACCAATTGACCTACTTTTTGTCACGATATATTAGTTTGCTTTTCCTAGAATTTTACATAAATAGAATAATACAGTATGTAGTTCTTTTGGCTGAATTATATCAGCAAAATTATTTTAAAATTCATCCATATCATTCCGTATATCAATCTTTTTTTATTCTCAGTGGTGGTCCACTGTGTGTGTGTGTGTGTGTGTGTGTGTGTGTGTGTGTATCTGTCTCTCTGTGTATATACCCCAGTTTATTCTTTATTGGTTGAATAAAAACTTGAGTTGTTTTTATTTTTTGGCTATTACGAATGAAGTTTCTCTGAACATTCATGCACAAGACTTCATATGGGTATTGTATTCATCTCTTTCTTGATCTAGGAGGGGAATGACTCGATCGTATGGCTGATGTACATATAATTTAAGAAACTACCAAACTTCTTTTAGTGATTCTACTATTTTACATTTCCATGTAAATGATGCTGAGAGTTTCAGTTGCTCCATGTCTTCATCAGCACTTGTTATAATCAGACTTTTAAAATTTAATTATTTTAATAGATGTGTAATGATATTATATTGTGGTTTTAATTTGCATTTCCCTGATGTAGAACATATTTTCATGTGTTTATTTGCTACCCACATATCTTTTTAGGTATAGTATCTGTTCAGATCTTTTGCCCATGATTTTACTGGGATGTTTGTTTCTTTATTAGGTTTGAAGAATTATTTATGTATTCTAGATAAAAGTCCTTTATAAATATGTTATTTGCTAACTTTTTCTTTCTATGTGTGGCTTCTCTTTTTACCCTCCTCATGGTGTGTTTTGAGAAGAAGTTTTAATTTTCATTAATTCCATCTTATCAATGTATTTTTATAGAGATTCTGCTTTTGTTCTGATATCCAAGAAATCTTTGCCTATCCATAAGTCACAAAATTTTTGTCCTATGTTTTCTTCTAGAAGTTTTATAGTTTAAGTTTTACATTTAGGTGTAGCATCTATTTTAAGCTGTTTTTGTATTTGGTGTGCAATATGGGTCAAAGTAACTCTTTTTCATATGAATATCTAATTGTTTCAGCACACCTTTAAAAAACAAACAAACAAAAAACTACTTATCCCCCACTGAATTGTCTACAACTCTGTTGAAAATCAGTTGTTATATATGTGTAGGACTATTTTGCAATTCTAGTTTGATTGCTAAACATAAATAAGTTTAATTGTAATCTAGAAAAATATGACTACAATTTTTGAAAGTGCAAAATGATAGAAATGGCAGTCATCAGGCGTGTTAGGTAAAGAAAAGATTAATTTTGAGATAATTTTCTTTTATTAAAGTCAGTGTTATGAACTGAATTGCATCCTGCCAAAATCCAAATTTTGAAGCTCTAACCCCCAATTTGTAGAATTTGGACATAAAGCCTTCATGAATGAGATGAGGTGAAATGAGAACATAAGGGTAGAGCCTTAATCCAATTGGATTAGTATGCTGGTAAGAGGAAGAGACAACAGAAAAGTATCTCTCCAGGAGTGCACATTGGGAAGGCCACATGAGAACACAGCAAGAAGGCTGTCTCTGCAAGCCAGGAAAAGAACCCTCACCACAAACAACCCTGATGGCACCTTGATAATGGACGTCTAGCCTTCAGAACTGTTAGAAAATAAGTGCCTGTTAAAACACCCAGTCTGTGGTATTTTGTTATGACAGGCCAAGTAGATAAATACAGTGAGATTTCAGTAATTCTTGACAAACTTAAAATGGAGAAACTTGAGTCCCCATTAAACATTCTTTTGTTGTTGTTAATCCTCACCCAAGGATATTTTTCCATTGGTTTTTAGACAGAATAGAAGGAAGGGACAAAGGAAGAGAGAGAAAAAAGAAACCATTGATGTGAGAGGGACACATCGATTGGTTATCTCCCTCACAACCCCCAAGTAGGGCCTGGGATTGAACCTGCAACCCAAGTATGAGCTGGACCCATGATTATTCAGTCCATAGGCTGATGCTCTAACCACTGAGCAAAGTTGACTATAGCTAAACCTTCTTTAGATCCTTACTTCCACTGACTGGAACACTGCAATAAAGAGAAAAAAGGTCTTACAATAGTTGCTTTAATGATACTAATTTTGTTGTTTTATTTATCCGACAGCATTTAACTGATCCAGGTCAGCCCTTCAGAAATAAAGAGATGGTTTGATGTGTTGCCTTCTAGAGAAACTTGTAACCTGATTAATAAAAATACATTATTATTTCTACAGGAAATTTTCATAGCTTAATGAGAGCGGGTTAGTAGAATCACCTCAACAAAAAATCAAAATGATTTTGGAAACTGTAGCATTGAAAGGGGGAGATGGATTGAATTGGAGGTGATATAGTAGGGACAATGAAATAATACCAGTCACTTTAAAAATGAGCATCTAAGGTTTCTGAGAGCTTATCATAAAGGAGTAGATAGGACACAAGAAATTTCAAATTAGACTATTATAAGTAATATAAGAATAAACTATTGATGAGAAAAATTAACTTCTATTGGGGTCTATGGGAAGGATTTTAAAAAGGATAGATGGAGTTTGGCTTTATCTTGTAAAGTGGTACTTGAGAAAGCATATCTGGCAGGGGGAGGATCATAGGCAAAGGAGAAAGCTCGGGCTAAGAAAAGAGAACCCAAATTATGACTCTGAGGAGACAGTAGTTGCTAGAAATATGAGGTGTTAGAGAACAAGAGGTGTGGTCAAGAGTAAACACTACAGCCTTTAACAGCTACAGACAAACTTCATGTTAAGAATAAACTTTCCGAAGCATTATGGAATCATAATAACACCTTTCTCCCAAATAAAAATAAATAAATAAAAAACAGTTTTCATAAAGCTCTACATTTAGCTTTGAAACATCCTTTCCTATGTATTTATGTATGGCGTTTCTACTACTCACCTTGGTTGAAAAAGCCACTACACAACAGCTCAGCTTTATGAGGGAAAGCTTACAGATAAAGAGACAATTGCAACTCAGTATATAGTTTATTAATGGCAAAAAAAACTACCTTTATCTGACACTGGTCAAACAGGAAGTCAGCCATTAATGCATTTGTGCTCAAATCATACATGAAACTAAAAGAATCCTAATCCAAATACAAGTCTGAGTTACTGTAAATTGAGTAAAGACTCATTAGTTAAGAGCAAGGGCTCTGGACAGTACTGTCTCTTGGACAGAGTTCAGAAGCAGGCCTGGATTAAATGATCTTTCACCAGACTCTTGAAATTATTAATAATTTTATCTGTGAATGGGAGTTTTGTGAGTGCAGTGGAACATATGTCAAGGGTTTAGTCTCAGACCAGGTGTGGCCCTGCCTCCCACATCCTCCCATTGGGGTTCTTTGGCTTCCCTGATCCTTGTCTACGCCCAGCAGCTGCTGTCATCTTGCGCCAGCATAGCACTCCTCCTCTGAGTCCCGGGGCAGGGCTCCTAGGCACCTGTGCCGGTGTGCAATAGCCCCACCAGTATTTCTGTGATTGAGGGAGCACCAGATTAAATACCAAATAAGAAACATATGGCAGGCCAATAAACACCAGGAAAGAAACGTTTTCCTACTTTTTGAATGAAGGGTTCAGCATTTCACTTTGCGACAGGCCCAGCAGATTACAACCAGCCTTGGAGCCCTGCAGCAATTGTTGGCTCCACCTGGGCAACTCGGGGCAAGGCACTTGGCTCCTTGGAAGTCAGTTTCTACTCTGTAAAATAAGAATAGTTCCTATCGGATTAGATTTCTGTGACGTTTTTAGAGATAATTCATGCAAAGCATTTGTCCCAGCACTTGATTCACGTTAACGCTCAGGACCACACGTGTTAACTATTGATCAATATATTATCTAATTCATACTCCCTCGGGTCTCCTCTGCCTGCAGGTTAATACCTCAAAATATCCCTTCCCACAAGCAGCAGCAAATGTGTGTCCTGATTTTGCTCTAAACGTTCATTATTTAATTAAACTGTCTTACAGTGTGCAGGAAAAATATGTTCATGCCTAAGTTATTGGCTGAAACAAAAGGTTGAATCTAATAAGGCGTGCAAGAATCTTCACATGTGCAAGATAATGATTCGGAGCCCAAACTGGTGATTCAAGGGATGCTTTCACCAAAGCTCTCTCACCTCCGCTAGGACAAAAAAAGGAGGGGAAGGGAGGAGACCCTTACAAGTGAATATAATAAAATCAGCATCCTTAAAAACTGCTATACCTGACAACAAACAGCAGAGCGCCCAGTGGGCCCCCCGCCCACTCCTGGTTCCTATAGGAACGCGCAATTCCGGCGCGTAGCTCTCTGCTCCGGAAGTTGTTCTCCCGCAGTTCTGTTCTTCCCTTCGGACCAGTGTCCCTTTTATCCCAGCCTAAGTTAGCGCCCAATACTGATGAGTTTTGGGCCGAAGAGGCCGCCGTTGAGGGGGCGTGGCGACGCAGACGTCGTACGTCAGGCAGAGTTCACGTGCCTGCTGCGTCGGGTCTTCTTCCTGAATCAACCATGGCTCAACCCGGGACTCTGAACCTAAATAACGAGGTGAGCACCAGGCCCGGGAACCTGTGGGGTGACCCCTCGGCCCTCCGAAGGGCCCTCCTGCGGTTTTGTGAGGGGCGTGTGGTCTGGCCGGGGGTGAGGGCCGAAGGTGCTTGTGGTAGGGCCCAGGCTAGTGTTAGGAACCCAGAGCGGTAACTCCCTTTCAGGTTTCTAAGTGGCTGAAGCAAGAGACAAGTCCCTGGACGTCAGGGCCCGTGAATTTGTGTCTGTGGGACTTTGGGGAGTTCGTTTAATACCGATACTCAGGGTCCTCCTCTGTGAAACTGAACTCGCGGTGTGTAGTACAAGGATGTGAGAATTAAATGAACGGGAATATGGGAAGTGTTTGCACAGCGCGTGGCAGGGAATAAACTCCCAGTGCACATTACCTCCTTCTGTAGCTTCTCCTAACAAGTTACTGGTCTTGAAGGAGGTCATATCTCTTATGAGGATGTACGCTCAGTACCTCGTTTCTTCTAACAGCTAAAGCCCCATTTCTTTGCTTCCATTTACAGAAAAACTCGTTCTCGTAAATCCAGTCTCGTAAAATATTCACCCTCATTACCTCCACGATAATGTGTTTTCTGCCACTGTTCTCTACAGTTTCTGCTTCTATTCAAGGGAGTCATAAGCCATTTGAAGATTAAAATTAATCTGGAAAAGCAAGGGTCAAAATAGGATCTTACAGCTATGGCAAAGGGTGTTTTTTAACTTCTTTATTCAGTAGATACATGAGTTTGCTATGAGCAACTCACCGTTTACATTACACAGTTGTGTATGACATACTTTCTATTTTCAAGCAACCTATACCCAGGTAGGAAAGGTAAGTAACACTCACCTATGCTATAGAATAACTAGTAGTGCAGAAAAGTTTCCAAAGAAGGTGAAGTGAACTGAGTGCAGTATTTGTTCTTGGTATTTAAGGATCTTATGCAGGAATTTCAGTCAGTGATTCAGTGAAGGGGAAGAAGGCATTCCAGACAGATGGACCAGTATAAGCAGGGAAGGGATGGTAGGAGGAAACCGCTTGGGTTGGTGTAAGGATAGGTAATTCTCCATTGATGAGCACTTATGGGATGAAGTAGGAAACGAAACAAATAAATTGCTTCTTTACTGCCAGGTCAGTGTGTATGGGTTTCATTCACTTTGCAGTGATGTACAGGATTTATTGGAGAAGAAAATTTTAAAGGTGTTTTGTATATATTCATAAACATATGTTAAACTTGTGCTAGTTCCAGAAAACATTTGATGGGCTTTTTTTTTTTTTTTTTTTTTTGCATTAAATTACCTATCCCAAGGCCCCTACTATTATTATTCATCGGAATAACTTGTGGACCCATCCTAATTAATAGACTCCTAGCCTTCATCAGAGAGAGAGTCCAATCAGTCATACTTATGGTCTTAGCACAATCCTACCAGAGATTGTCTTCCCATGACGATTGTGAATCAATGGTTTGATCCACTCACAAGAAAAGGGGGGAGTGTTATAGCTCACTATCCTTGGCATTCAATAAAGAAAACCAACTTGTCTTTGAGCTGCCCTAATTAACAGCCTCAGGGACAGCAAGATGAACAACGGGGATTGTTATAGACGGCTTTAGCCTCATAAAAATTAACCAAAGTTTGACCTTCACTGGGAATTTGAAAAACAACATCCTTCAGAAAAAGGGAGGACAGAAACGGCCCCAAGGCCAGAGTGTCCTGCATACTCTATAAATAAACCAATAGGGAGAAACTAAAGCTCCCTTTACCCCATAAAACTGTTAAAAATATATATATTACACCTGACTAACCACTGATATCCATCTCGAATTTGTTAGTTTTTGAAATTTAAATAATAAAATAAATAGCAAGATACATGTATGCTGACCCAGTTCACCCAGTTCCCTTTTGCCTCAGCTCCCTCCCATCTCTGTTTCCTCCTGCTGATCACTGCCTCCACTTCTGTACACATAGCTTGCTTGCTCTGCTAAACTCTTGAATGACCCCTGTCCTATATAAGCAACCCTCCCCCTGAGCTCAGGGCTGCAGTTCTCCTCTGTATAGGTTGGCTGCAGTCCCTGCGCAGGTAGTAAAGCTCCTAATATTCAAAATTACTTTGTGTCCGAGTGAGATTGATTCTCCTGGGTTACAACAGAAGTACTAGTGAGTGAGTTCCTGTTCACTTTTGAAATTACTCTAAGAGTGGTAATGACATATACTGCTTCTCATTTAAGGTTCTTTCTTTTCCACTTAGCTAATTTCTAGGACTCTTCAAAACAGTTAAAGTTTGACCTTTAAGAAGTCTTCACTAATTCACCTCAGTCTAGGCTAAGTGTCTACTCTTTTTGCAACCAGAGTGCTTTGTACTCTGAAAATACTTGTTTACCTGTTTCTCTCTTTTTGTGTGCATGTCTATCACCTACAACATATGTGCTCTATAAATGTTTGCTGGATGACTAAATGAACTTATCTTTTAGGAAATTTATGCCCTGGCCGATGTAGCTCAGTGGTTGGAGTGTCCATTGGCACATGGAAGGGTCTCAGGTTCGATACCTGGTCAAGGGCAGGTACCTGGGTTGCCTGTTTGATCCTGGCCCTGTCCAGGCACCTGAGTGAGGCAGCCAATTGATGTGAGACACATGAGTGTTTCTTTCTCTTTCTCTCCATCCCTCCCTTTCCCCCTTCTCCCTCCCTCCCTTCTACTCTCTAAAAAATTCAATGGAAAAATGTCTTCAGATGAGAATTAACAAAACAAAACAAAAAAAGGAAATTTACATGTCCCATACTAAAGTAAGTCTTGCAGAGGGAAAAGTAAATAATAGATTTGCATAAAATTTGAAATACATCCCAAAGCATGAAAAAAAAAAACCAAAACCAATTAGGAAAAGAACTGTAGCAAATATGACAGATAAATGGCTAATGTCATTACTATAAAATGTCTCACGGAAATTAAGAGGAACCATCTCATAGAAAATTGGTTTAAAAATGAATTAACAACTTCTCTAAGGCAGAAAAGAGTTAAAATTCACTATTATCTTTCAGATCTTTCTTACTACTTTTTCATTACTACCCCTGTCATAGTCCAAGTTATTATATCTCCCGCCAGCACTTCTGTACTAATCTCCCAGGTACGTAACTGTGGTTCTTTCCCTCCAATCTTATCTCCATAATGCAGCTGGAGTGCTGTCTTCAAAACATAAATCTCATCATGTGACTCCCTTGCTTAAAACCTGTTTGGTGGCTTTCCATTGCTTTCAGTAAAGACCTATCTAAATAAAGCCAGTCTTCTTATCTTCTGTTATAACACTCCCCACCCCAACACCCCTTCATCTGTCTTTGTACTTCAACTACACTGGCCTTCCTCCACTATCTAGCACAGCACTCTACAGATCCTTTGCATATACACCATTCCTTTGAACTGTTTCATTTGTCCATTTCATACTTCTACTTGTTACTTTCTCAGGGAAAGCATTCTTGACTTTCATTTGCCCCTTTTATAAGGTCTTGTAGACCATTTCTCCTCTTTTAGCACTTGTAATAAGTTGCTTAGTGTGTGTGTATGTGAATGTGTGGGAGAGAGATTTCTTATTCCCTCTACCTAAGGTTTTGTTAGCTGTCATATCCTTAGCACCTGTCTGTTGAATAAGTAATTTGAGGCATCATTTTTATGATCCTTAATAATGTAAATTAGCTCACCTTAACTGAGATCCAGGAATGTATTTCAGGGATCCTATAGCTGTCTGAATTTGTCTAATTTGGTGTTTGTATGTCTGTCTCTGAGGGGAAAAGAGTCCTTAGGTGTTCATTTATAAAGCTCTGGGATGTTGGAGCTCATATCTGTGATTAATTTGATTCGATTACTTATATTGTGATTTTTTTATAGTTTTTCTTTTAAAAGTTACAGTGTGTTTAATGACCCGAAATGTCTTTTATGAAAATAAAAGCTTGCCTCCAGAGGCACCTATTATCCTAACTTTCAATGCCTTCTACCCTTAATTAATTCGATTCTTTTAAAAAATTTCCAAGGATAAATTTAGACTGATATTTATAGAATATTTCCTGACTCTAGGTCCTTAAACAAGTCTACTAGAAAGTTGCGTTCCATTTCCAATAAGATAGTAACCGTAGAAGCTAATGTGCCAGAAAACAAAATGATTTGCCTCCACATATTGTAAAAGATAAGAATGTAAAAAACTATGTTTGTGCTTTTGAAATTGCAAAACTCCTATTTTATAATTGAATGTGTAGTACCTTTTTTTTATCCTCACTCAAGGACATTTTATTTGCATTTATCTTCAGATAGAGCGGGAGGGAGATAGGGAGGAAGAGAGAGAGAGAGAAGCATCCATGTGAGAGAGACACTTCGAGTGGCTGCCACCCACACAACCCCAACTGGGGCCGGGGACAAACTACAACCGAGGAATGTGCCCTTAGCGGGAACCAAATCCAGGACTCTCTGGTCCGTGGGCCAGTGCTCTAACTGCTGAGCCAAACTGGCCAGGGTGAGTGTATAGTACTTTTTAATAATTTTTACTGAAATAGTAAATCAGGGTCCATCCATATGAAGAGAATCATTTTCTGTTTTGTTGTTAAACTGTTCTGGGAAGTTTTGCTAGGTGGCAGCATATTCTCAATAATGATTAAATTGTAGCTAATTACCAAGCAGTCTAGAATTTTTAAATTGTTGCTCATCAGAAATAAAAAGAAGTATAATTCAACAATAATGACCAAATAAGAAGTTCTCTGTATAAAACCATCATTAATTTTGTTAACTATGAAATAGTTCAGATATATGGAAAATGATCTAACAAATGTCCTTGTAATCTACCTCCTCTTGTATTTAGCAAATGTCAGTATTTTGCCATATTAAACTGCTTAATTCCCATTGTATTTTCAACCTAAGAAGTAATTATTACTCTTTTAGTGTGTTATTTTCTTTTCCATAGTTTTCATAATTGTAGTAACATACCCCATGCTTATATCCAGTGTATAGTATTGTGTTGTATATTTTTAAACTTTGC